TCCTATGAATAAAATTACCAGAAGTAGTTAAAATACCAGCAGAATAACGGAAAAAGAATACATTTATTTGTTGCTATAGTGATGGATACTGCATCCAACCTTTGCCATGGCCACTGCAGTTAGCACATAACAGCAGAGAAAAACAGGCTTGAAGCCAGACAAAGTCAAAGAATTTCATGGGAAGTTAATGATCCTTTTACACTGTGTTATACAGAAATGACCAGTAAGTGGTGCAGACTTCATAATTATTATAGCATTTCTAGCTACCTAGTAACAGCCCTCATGTTTCCATTAAACTAAGAACTGGGCATACAGGCAGCAATTCAACATGATCAAACCAAGGAAATAATTTCTCTTACAGTTAGTCAGCACTGAGTTTCCTCGGCTCATGGTTGACAACACAGAAAATACCGCATTTAAAAAGCCGTTGTCGTTGCTCGTAATCTTACACCAAACACTTATTCATTTTGTTTCTCATGGTCAAAAACCCACAGCGGCTTTGACTACATTTGACAGCCAACATAATAAAACATCCATTGGTTCTGATTTATTCATAAAAACCTCAATGCAAAACATAATCTTAGACACGGTTTCCTTAACAAATCCTCTTAGCTGGGGAATTCTGAATGTTAACTTTTTAACTGAAACTCAATCATCCGACGATGATTTTAAACTACCCCAGCGCTCCCTATACAGGAAAGAACAGGCAAAATAAAGAAGCCTAAATTTATTTATTTTGGCTTCACAAAACATTTGATGCATTGGAATAAGGCAAATTAAGCTAATTCTATTGTGCACTGTCAGAGAAAAAGCACCAATTGTGCAATTACTTGTCACTGGGGCTGTACCCTTAAGGGTCTGCCAATTGTATCCTAGCTGTACCTTTTATTCTAATTACAAAAATGGACTCTGAGGAACATTTTTGTATCATTGGGCGTACATTAATGTTGTTTGCATCTTGTGGAACAAAACTGCGCCAGGACTGAGCCCTCTGAGTGTAGGAGAGGCTGACTGACAGGCCCGAGAAAGAGAACCAAGCCCATATGTAGGCCCGAATTACACCTGTCCTGCTCCAGATGGGATAAGTGAGTGAAAGATGCCAAGAGAGGAAAGCACAGTGAGCAACAGGATGCAGAGCCGAAGGCCCTTGGAGATTAGGGACGGCCAGGAATGTAAAGTGCACACGTGCGTGGAATGAGCCCCAGGGGTCAGCGGGTCAGGCCGCTACGGCTGCGGCGGCCATCAGCTCCGAGAGAGCAGACAGCTGGAGATAAGAATGCGATAGGAAGCTGTGCGTAGAATCAATGAGCTGGAAGACGGGGGAGACGCCGGCAAGGTCCTACAGGATAGCCCTCCAGCACCAATTACTCATCCGCCGGCGAGCCGTGAGCCTATCCTCAGCTAAGCCGGATCGCAGAGACGCACGGCACTGTCCCGTGTTTTCATAAACCCTGTAATAAAAACACGGAATTACTTCAAAGAGCGAGACCGCAGAAAATGGCTGTATAAACAGGACCTTCAAGTCTGGGGAGACAGGTGACGGAAGAGCTCGCTAATAAAAATGACGTTCACCGTGAGCAATGCTGGAAACAGATAATGTTATCACCAAGCCGCTCGACCGGCCCGGTGCAGACAAAGCAGCCTGAAGCAGACCTTTGTAGCCATAAATACACAACTGATAACAAAAACATGAACCACTGACATGCGCCCTTTACTCCACTGTTTCCCAACCCGGTCTTCGGGGACCCCAGACAGTCCACAATTTTGATCCCTCCCAGCTCCCTGCCAGACAGTCCACGTTTCTGCTTGGGAGCTGGGAGGGAGCAAAAATGTGAGGACCGGCTTCAGAAACACTGCTTTACACAACCCCAATATTACTTACTGTGTTACTAGAACCAAAAAAGAAAAACACTTATTGTATCTGTGTGCTGCAAGAAAATAGATGCTAGAGCCTGGATTTCTTCTGAATATGTGTTTGTCAGTGCAGCCAGTTTGTTTTCCTACCCATTTCTGTCTACCATTGTTAAGCAGCCTGATTTCATAATCAACACAGGCACATAGCTAATTAAACATCTAGCAATATTAATTCACATTAATTACAAGAGTGCTGTTCAAAACAATGCATTTGGCACATAGAGCTGTGAATACTTGTGGAAAAGACAGATGCAATCGAAACATTGGCTAGGAGCAGCAGCAAAATGCATAACCTGCAATTTAACGTAACCCTACCGACTTCACCGTACTGCATTACTTCCAAAATAGTATTCTCTGATCTTTAAGAGGACGGTCCCTTAAGAATACCTGTTTAAGAACACTTACACAAAGGCAGAAAATATCATTTTTTATCTCTTACGAGGTAGTTATTACGAGTTTTATCTCTCGAGGTAGTTATTCAAGCACCTTAGTTTTTCACTCTTGCAACCTACTGTTAAATGAGGAAAGCAGCCTTTTACTCCACTAATCATTTCAACAGAAACAGTTCAAACAACCTCGCTAAGCATCTCATTTTTTATTATGAGGTGAAACGGTACCTAAAATTAAACAGAAAGAAGCAGAAGGAGACCTAAGTGACTTTTTTTTCTGTATATTAACTTCTTTTCCCGATGTCCCGTCTCACACTGTACATCTGTTACACAACCAACATGCCTGGCTGGTCGTCGTCCGGGCTGAGCGCTTCCAGCACGGACATTAAGACAGGATGTGAAGGATGTATAGCACAGACCTCCTCATGGTTGCATGAAAACAGAAAAAAAAGCATGAGGGAATCCCCTTGAGAGCACATAACCGACCACTGACACACTGCACGCTGCACACTGCATGACAATCATGCAACTACTTCACCATTTCTCCACGATGGACAAAATCTCGCAGCTTTTCTACTCTCAGCATTTGGCTGACGTACAGACAGTAGATAAGATAAATCGCTTTTACAAATAATTACTGGGCATTTTCATTGTTGGTGCTGGCTAAAGGTCATGTGAACTGGGGCTTCAGGCCAATAACCAAGATCTGGAGTAAATAAAGAGGGAAAACTCGCTAAAAAAAATTGTGAATGAACTCACGGTGCAGATGGATAAAAGAGACACAAACAGGGATCATGAGACAGATTTAGGGTTGTGAGTGAAATGTTTCTACACCATGCCCTGTTGCCTATCCCTTTATACTAAGCTTAAATGTGTTCATGAAGGAATACATTTAGAATTTAGTGCTTGCGTAGTAAAGCTTTCATAATGTTTTCCTGCAGCCTCAGCACTGACTTTATTGGAAGCTAAATGCTATATAATTGCCACACTGTTGTTGTGTGATATGGAATACAAGCATTGTCTGCAGATTACTACCCATTTTGTGTTTAACACAAAGCCACGGCTGGGATTGCTGCAGCCACACCTGCACATTTAATTACAACGACATCGGAACAAGTTCGCTAGAAACTGACTGAGATGCAGGTTATTACAGGTTATTAACTCCCTTGCACATCTCTTTTAACCAATCAGTGTGAATTTCGACAGCCTGCAAAGTTGTCAACAGACACTGTGGCTGGATTCTGGATTCTGTCAGTTGCAAGCTTTTCTAAAGCTTAACTGCCTAGCAGATTTTACAGGTCAGGGACAGGTAATAACAGAAATATTTCAAGAGGCACCTTTCTGTGTGTGTTTGGGGCGGGGGGTGTGACTATTTCACCTGTGGCTCTCTGCTGGGTTGTACCCTGGGAACCCCGAAGATTCATCTCCCACGGTCTTTGACAAGCCCAGGCTTATCCACTCTTCGACCCGTCAGTTTGGTTTTCGCTTTAGTTTCTTTTTTCTTTTTTTTAATTTCCTGAGTGTTCTGTCAGTCACCTTCCCGTCCCACCCTGTTCCCAAGAAGAACAATGTTTTGCCCAAATAAAGAACCCATTACCTGTCCAAAGCCATATCCCCGGATCCTGTCCCCTATTCCAACCTGGGCCAGTTTCCCAGCACACAACAACGGTAAAGGATTTTCCACAATATCATCAGCAAGTTGATAATTAATTAACCATTATTCCAAAACTAAAACTGCTCACTCAAGCCAGAAAAAAAGCACAAATTCCAGTCTCATCCCAGCCATACTATGCATAAAATAATAACACAGAAATTTTGACATGCCTCTGGGCTAGTAACCAAGATATGGAGAATGATTAAAATTTCAGTCGACTTCTCTGCAAACACACCGCAGAGAGGTCTATATATTGATGAGATTCCTGTGCACTCCAGACATGCCAATTAAACATTAAGGGAACACTCCACGGAGACAACTTTCTGCATCAAAGTTCCACATCAAACCCAACATGACACAGCTGTAAAATACCCAGGATTACTTTAATATTTTATTTAAAAATGGAGTCTCCGCAACCTCAATAAGACACTCTCTGGGCTTTGCGGTGACTGACTGTAGAAACATGCGTTTACTGTTTTGTATTATTAGTCTTACTTTATAATTTACTGGCCCAGAGCTCCTGTCTCCAGCTCCAGAAAATGTAATAAAGGGCGCCAGAGCGTGTCGGAAACTGGCACATTAAGCACTTTTAACATTTTTATTGTACCTTGTTCACACGTGACTTGCTGTTTGGTATTTCTGCCAGGCCCCTAATACAAACTGAAACATTACATTGATCCAGACACTTTTAAATTTTAAATTCTAAATCCATGTATGAATAATTCAGATGCAGAAGATGTAGTTCATTTTAATATTGCCTATTTTCCGCTTTCCAAATAATTTTATGTGGCATCAAATTGTGTGTTCTATTCAAATATGTCATTAAGTTTATTCAGGATATGTGTGGGGCCAATTTAATTAAACAGGCTATAAATCAGACAGCTAAGTCTACTGACAACCTACAGAAATATTAAGTCACAAGTTGTAAGAAATCCAGCTTTAAGCTGCCAAACATGCATGTCCCTTGGGTGAGGCGGGGCGTCATGGGTAAAAACGACAGTCCGTGTGTTCATTTTGGCATCTGGCTCCTCGAGGGGACTCACCAGCTGGAACTCGCTGTGGCGAGAGTAGGCTGTCTGGATGCCCGAGTCGCTCCAGAGGGCGTGCAGGGCGGGCACGTACAGCTGGAAGGTGCACGTCTCCACAGGCACGCCCGCCTTGCTCTCGAACGCCATCACGAACATGCCGTGCTTCTCGTTCTCCGAGTTCTGCCAGGGGATGCGCAGCTTGTCTCGCGCGTCCACCAGCACCCGCATGCCCTGCAGGGGAGGCAGCGCATCGCATCTCCGGTTCAGTCCCTTCAGACACAAACGAGCTCCTGATTAAGTGTCGACAAGCCACATCAACCGTACAGTAAATGGTGACTATATGAGGGAACGCCATAACTGTGTGTATGAGATGACTGCGATTCAGCCACAAAAAGCAGCAAATGTCATACTCAATATAGTGTGTAATTACAGGGGACCTAATGAGACACATACATCTGACTTGTGTCAGAAGCCTCCAGAACCCTGTGGAGGGATGTGAGCGACTGATCTGCATGGGAGGTTTTCTACTCGTGTGTGAAGATACCATTAAGTTTATGTCTTTCAGGCAACTTTACGGCGGACAGTTAAAGTGCAATGACTGCATGTTTACGCAGAATATGCCATTTGCAGTTTAGCAAAAGGTCTTATTGTAAACAAATACTTATATTTTATTACAAAAAAAACACAAAGCATCACCCTGACTCAGTGGGTTCATTGGTTAAATTATATGCATTAAAAACACTTCTGCGTACAGGACATCTGTCTCTGTAGCTGAGGCGAGCTGGAAATTCAGCACTTTCAGATGGGATAATCAGAACAGGCTGTGGGATCTGCAGCTTGTTAAATTGGGCTAAACGATGGCCATATTCAGCAGTATTGCAGGCCTGTTTGTCAAACTCGTGGCACCAAGATAGATGCTGCCTTGTTTTCAAGTGATTTTTGCTTTTGCTATTTCAATACTCCCAGTTCATATGCAATCACTTTTCCCATACAGCTGCTAAACCAGTCCTACCTGTTACTTGACCAAGAACAGAATAGTGACATACGGTGACTGTGACACACAGCCGAAATTCAATAAATTCAGTAAAATGCAATAAATTGTTAGCAACATGTTGGATCAGTTCTATATGACTTGACTTTAGTTACTTCACCTTTACCAGATCTAACCGCAAATTTCTCTAAACAAGAATGGATGTTAAATAAAAAATGTAACAATCTAACAACGACAGAAATAGTATAATACATTAATAGCAATCATAAATCAATAAAAATGTGTTTTTGACATGCAATATATCTTAGAAAAACAATGGAGCTTTGAATCTCAAGGTGGGTCGAAATATCCTGTGCTGTCAATCACTGGTTTAAGCCAATGCATGATGCAATAGGTGAATAATGAGTTGTCAGTTACACCAATTAGTGATTGACAGCATATGAGAATCTCATTTAATGTGGAAGCTGAAGAGCCATTTTTACAATGCCGGTTTTCCTTATGATAACACAATGACAGTGCATTGTTTTATACTACATTATCATGCTCCCTTATTACAGAGGATAAACGAATTGTGCTGATGCTCTTTCCATGTTTCTTAATGCCATGTTGCTTGTACCTACATGAACCTAGACTATTTTGCTTTGAATGGTCAAAAAAAATGACTAGTTAAATATGACATATGCTGCATTCTGCCTAATATAATGTAAAATTAAATATATTTAGGAACAAATGCATAATATTATACCTCTGAATCAACTATCACCATTAATAATAATGCAAAATGGCAAGAGTAGAATTATTAGTACATTTATCAATATTCTACACAATATCATACTAATAACACAAAAACTTCATAAAGCAAAAGCATAATTATAAAGCAAATCTGATAAATCCAAGCATAAATGGCAATGAAGTTCATTGAGGTAAAGACTGATTTCTGAGATGTGGTTATTTAACAATTACCCACACCAGAAAGGCACAGAGTATTAGCTATGGATTTACATGTGAGTGACCTTCTACTGACCTCCTCAGATCTGCTACAGCCAAGATCTAATGGACATTGATAAGAAGTTTAGGTATTAAGCCCCCTGTTCCTGATAGTGACATATCTGTTCATACCTGTTCATATGCTCTCAATAAAGTGAAAACTTTTGTATTGTTAAACTGTGCAAACTTAAAGCAAGCAAGGCTTCTCTCCCTTTTTAATAAAGGACTTGTATCACATTTTGAAAACATCTAAGGAAGCCACGGGTATTGCTGAAAACAAAGTTGCACCCAGGTAATGCTTAATAATTGTGGAAAGACTAATTCGAAAGATTTAGAGCAACGCGAAACAGCAGAAGAAAACAGCAGGTGCTGTAATGAAGGCGACACCCAGGCCTGCGGCTGGTCCAATAAAGCACAGGAGACCCTGCGAGAAAGACAGCAGTGTTTCCTGGCTACAAGCGAGTCTGAACAGGGGCCATGCAGCTGGAGGAGAGCATTTTAGGGAAACAGACAGCGACGCAAACATCTGCCGTCACCAGAGCATTAAAGTACCATCGTGCTAAGATCCGCAGCTAAAGCCAGCAGAACTCCCATGGAGGAATGGGGCTGATATCTCAGTGGCGTGCTTTTCATTTCCATGTCATAAATGAAGGTTCGAGGCCACATCTGTAATAGATATGAACAAGAGAACATCTTCAACATGATCTGGTGACTGATCACGTTTAGGACCATGGCCAAGATGAAATAGTTTGACAAAAATTAAGGGAATGCACATCAAGTTTGAAGCCTTCTTGTTAAAAATAGTAAAAAAAAAATAATGATAATAAAATAAAGAAGTAAATCAGTATGGCCGTTACAGAGTGTAAATGACTGTGATTTCCTATGCCTAGGACAACTACCCAGTCACCCTTCACGTTACCGGGCTGTCCTGTAGCAACACATGGACATGAACCACAGAAAAGGGACTTTCCAGAAGGTTGCTTGTCCCTCCCCCCCCAGGATTTTTGTTTAGGCTGTGCATGGTTCCTCCCGCCCCCACTCCACCCAAGCAGCCCGGGTCCTCGGAGGCCAACGCTGACCTTTCACCTACTTCCCCACCGCTCTATCTGGGAACGAGACAGCTCCCATCCTCTAGAGTTTCGCTAGGCGACGTCTAGGGAGAGCGAAAGGGGGGATATGGAAGACGAGAGCAGGAGGGGGGCTGGGCCGTCAGCGCTGACCGCAGCGCCACTGCTGGAGGTCACCCACCAGGTCTACTCTTTCCTCTCAGCAAGGCACAGCGCCATTCCCATCTCAGAACTGACCACAAAGCAGAGCGCAGTCCTGGCCCATCAGGGTGAAAACATTCTCGTCTTTAACAAGAGACCTCCACACCATAAGAACACCTAAAAATCTAAAATAGAGGGATTTTGTTTCAGTATCAGGCAAAGTTTTTAAAACGTAATTGTTAAAATATTTGGAGGGACCGTATATAAAAAACATAAACTATTATTCAATACCGATACCAAATCTGATAAATACTGAAAAGAATTTAATAGACCACTTCTGACAGGAACTTGTGACCGCAAGACTTTCAGTCACTAGATCACCCATTCTAGTGATGTGACGAGTGATTTGATTTGATTTAAATAAACAAGTTGCATTCCTAAATAACTTGACTAACAATAACTTTGACAAACGTGTCATTTGTGTGACTATAAAAAAACAATCTGCGGCTGCTGATCCAGTGCTTTAATAATGGACACTTCTCCAGTCCCCATAATATAGCGTTTGAGATCAAAAACAAATGAATCTTAATTAGAGGCAACCTGCAAGTAGCTATTTTACCCAGGGAAGTCAAGTAGATGAGAGGCCTCTCAACCAGAGGGTAAATAGTGAAATCTCAGAATTATCACCCGGGGCTCATTCCAGGGTCAGTCTCAAGCCACATACTCATCCAGACCACATGCTTAATGAGACCAGAAAACCCAAGCTGTCCAAAGAAAACCTCCATCTTCAGCCAAAGATTACATTAATAGGTGAGTCAAGAAGTCAGAGAGCTATAGATGTAGTTCCTGTTCATCCTGTAAAATATACATATAAATATACAAATATATAACATCTGGTACGAAAAATATCACGAACATCTGCGTAAATATATTTAATGCAGCACAGACAGACGGCTAAGTCAGGGTGTCTTATGCAATACCAAGCGGCCTTTATCAAAATGGCATGTATCACATGCCCATCGTAATCACTAACAGGCAGAACCTCGAGACTCTATTGATGGTTAGAGTCAATTTAGCAACACCAGCCAGGAAGACCTTCAGCATTCTGTGATGCAATGAGTGACATAGGTGCTTAGAGCACAGATTAGATATACCCATCCATAGTCCGAATAAGACGTTTGTTTTTTCGGGAAGAGGAAAGATCCAGTCAGTCACCTGGAGGTCACCTCCAGTAAGAAGCTGCTACTTAGATCACGGCGATATTTACACGACAAACCGGTTCACGAGGTTTTTAAGCCACACCAAAGAGTTGTTTTCCTGTATTTCTGGAGGGTGATCACGCAGACCTCACCTGTCTGACATCATTTCAGGGAAACTGCAGGTGTTCCTCCGTATCCATTTACATCTTTTTTTTAAAAACAGATCCACAGAAAAGAGTAGGACACTTGGTCCTTTCTCATTTGCCGATCAGTGCACTAGATAATCGTTTGTAGATGGAAATCAATGAAACAGCTTCCTATGAACAGTTCTGTCTGGCTGCAATCCCCTTGTCTTTAAACACACTGCTTTCCTGTCACCATTAAAGTTGCACCCATGTTCTTCTGCACATCTTTCCATTCGCAGTGTGGGTCTCCCCAAGTGAGAGCAGTTCTCTTCTCCACAGTCTGATCCTGTTGTTAGTATATTTCAGCCCCCCATTACAACAAAGTAAATGAGTGGGTGTAGATCATTATATCACAAACACATTTTTCCTTCCTCTTCCCCTGGCTCTTAAATATGTTGTTAAGTATGGCTGACATGCTACCTTTTCTACAAATAGATACAGACAATAGGTACAATGAAGACAGTTAGAACATATGGTAATGATAACAACTGTCCAAGGAAAAGATGCAAGAGTTATAAAATCTGACAAGAATGTCATGCAAGTTAGGGAGGGATAATTTAAACAGGGCGATGTCAGGCAAGTCCTGCAGGAACCATCTCAGACACTTGACTGGGTCAATGCAGTATATTATGCATAAAATGAGGTCTTCAGCCAAAACAAG